AAAATCACTAGATAATTATCCAGAACACGAGGGCAACTAAAACGGTTCTAACGTCGTCAGGGTAATTTGTGTTTTATTGACTAAGTGCATACATATGAGTATTTAACAGCTCAAATGTACTCTTGGCTGAGCCTTTGCTCGCCCACCTGTCCTGGTGAAACTGGAAAGGCCTTCGGGCCACCAGTAAACTTACAGTCATAAAAAAAAAAAAAAAAAAAAAAGCTCAAATGTATCGTGCCGTCTAAATATAGTCCTCTTAATTTCTTTTCCAAACCTGTTTAAAACAATTTACATTTTTTGTTTCGATATCTAAATTCGTAAATCGTTATGTGAGTGTTTAAATTTGCAAATGCCATGGTTAAGTTTTGTATTTTTCTTGCGATTTCAGCGTGTACGTTGCCGTCTCTAATGTTCATTTTTGCGTGTACCGGGGTCAGCTTATGGTACCTACACGCTGAGCCGGTTTGGCTATAATAAGAATAACCGTTATAACATCGACGGGAGAACGGGATGTTTGCGAGAAAGGGAGAGGACAAACAGCTTTGTAAAACCAAGCTTTGGAGTTTGGTTCCCTGTACGCCAAATGCATAACTCATTAAATGTATATTATTATATTCAGTACCTATAGACTTTTCGAGAATCGATAACATTTTGAATAGAAACAAAATAGTGTAAAGGAAGTTGTTACATTGTGTAGTTTTGTTTAAAGCACGTTTTGTTAAAAGAGGTTATGTTGACTGAAGAGTTGTGGTCACAAGTAAGTACCTTAATTGATAATATCAATTAAATTTTAACAGAAAATAACGAATTAATGGATAATATTGTATCATGCGTTTTAGACGTTTAATTGTTTTCAATAGTCATGATTATTTTCAATCGCTTCAAAATTCCTTACCTCTATTGTTGTTCTAATCTTGGTATGGCGCGAAATTATATTTTTCAACCTCTATGAGACTAGATTTACATGAGGTAAGTAAGTAAGTACTGTTAAAGTCTAATGTGCAATTATGTTGTGGCTTAAAACATGTTGACAAGTCAAAGGCAAATAAAAAAATATTTTCGAATTCTTTTAGTTCAAGTTTCAGTCAAAAAAGATATACCTGCATTTATCTGCTGAAATTTAAGCTGATTATAATAATATGTTTGATTATATGTTTACCTACCTACGTACCTTACGTACAGTTAAATAAACACTGAGAAAAATACTTAATAATAAATACAAAATTCCCAATAGGAGATGCTAATAAGGTATTTTATGAAAGTATCTTATAGAGGTTCAAGTTAGTTGAAAAAAACCTAAAAACTTTGTGGTTTACCCATAATAAACTAGTCCTATGTAGATCAGTACAATAATTTCACAGCTATAACGATAAACATAATATACATATATACAACTTTTTTATAGAAATCATATCAGTACCGTCAGGAAATATATTTTGTAGACACCCATAATATTAAAAAGTTGATGTAAATCAATAAAACTAGTTTGGTCGTGCCCTAGCGTGTTGTTATTCAAAGTTGCTCATAGAATAATATATTCATTAAATACTGTTATTTTATTTAATACAGTTTTCTCAGTTTTAACACACGCATGTGTTCATATTGTTATTTATTGCAAAATATATCATACAGGATTATTGTCAAGGCAAAAAGTTAGATCGCGTGGGCTGGCAAGCGGTTGAAGAACTATAATACACTTGGGAGTCATGCTTTCTGGTAGCCAGTCTACGCTGTCAACGCATTTTTAAAATCTCGCTATCATAGAAGAAAGGTAGAATTTTTTGCTATTAGCTCGACTTTGAACAACGAAGTAGCCATTCATTCTACAATATTGAATGTTTTGTGTAGCCCTGTTTCTGTTAGCACCTTTCCGAACGCCTCCTGGTTATTAAACCCGCACTTACATAATTAAATTAAACTAAATTAATTAAAACAAATTAAAAATTAAATTTCGTAAGGCCAAACCCTGCTTTTTAAAAGATATCCTGATTCTCGCGTCTCTTTTAAACGCTTCAACGCTTTTGACGTTGTAAGCACTTCAAGTAGTCTTGATGAACCTTAAGTATGTTTTTTTTTGTTGAAATGGGTCCTGAAGCTCACAGCTTAACTGTTGTTACCGGAGCCCATAGACATCAATAACTTAAATGCCGCCATCCACATCGGATTTCTAAAGTCTCAGTTATAGTATAATGACTGCTTCTTCCTTCAAACCAGAACGCATGACTGCTTCGCCAGAAGAAAGTAGGGAGGGCAGTGGTAGCAGTGGTAGCGGTATTGGTGGTGGGCTCGCTCTTCCACCAGTAACGTACGACTATAGCATGCACATACATAAACGAATGCATCCTAGACGTCTTGCCACGTGACTGCTGAAATAATAATAGATGTCTCAGTTAAAACAAAAGAACTCCCCGTCGAAATTGTCGATTACAACGAAGAGTTCGATGAGCGAAGTAACCCAGAGACACAGTCCACTGAGCTTCTTGTTGGATCTTCTCAGTGGGTCGCGATTCCGATCCGATGGTAGATTCTTCGAAGCACAGCTCTTGCTAGGGCTAGTTAAGTGTTAGCCAATTCCCAATACCCTTTTACGCTACCAGCGAATAGGTAGGGACAAAAAAAAGTGGTGATGTTACAAATAAAATTACGCATAGAAAAAGAAACAACAGTACTAAAAACAATAAAACAAACGGGAGAACTTGTACGTTGCTTTGTCACCGATTTGTTTAATTATCAGGCATTGTCAATTCAATTACACGTTAGCGTGACTTCACTTTTATTCAACGCAGTTATTCGCACCTTTTTTTACTCTATAATTAGTATTTACGCGTAATTTTTTATTACGTAAAACACAATTGTTATCTACTCATAATGTTTAAAAATACATAGCTTAATCATGTAATAGAATCGTTTCTTTTTGTTTTTGCAAGTCGCAGATACGATTAAAACAGTTTTACTGTTTGATTTCGCCTTTAATGTTATCATTTTAAAATTCCGGATATATGAATATGTAAATTTCTCGTAATCAGGTGCAACAGCCCTAAAAGTAGATTTAGTGAATTCAAAGTAAAGTTTGTTCGAAGTGAATTTTAGTTTTTATCGTTTGTACCTAGAAAATATAGTACATAATAGTACATAGGTGTGTATTCATTCCTTTTTGTATTTCACTAATTCTGTTCGCGGTCACCTTCACTTCTTTTTCACGAATATGTTTGAATTAGAAATATATACTTTTACAATTTGATTATTGAATTTATGTTTACAGTGTAAACCAACGTAGCAATATACATGCATGAGCAATTGTTGATTTATTTGAACGATACAAGAATGTATAATAACATTAGAAATAACTTTTTATTTACGCAAGATAAGCATGTATCGTAGGAGTATATTTTTCAATATTGCTTGTGTTGTTTTTTATTTAGAAAAAAAAGTTATTCATAAAATATGCGTGAAAAAAAAGAGTGGAGAATTTTCGTTGTTATAATTAATGAAAATACAACGAAGACTATCTATAATACTAATACTACTACTAACTACTGCTAATAATTGGGAATATTAATATGGGGCCGGATAACCAACCATGCGTGGATTTTTCTCAGTTATCAAGTTATACAGTTATAATACATTTCAATTTGAAACGTTTCTCTTTGATAAAAATGGAATATATTCATTATATTTTCCGCGTTTGTCATCAGTCGCAGTTTAATATTAGGTACTTATTAGTTTGGCAAATATTGGGGTGATAACAAATCGATAGGCGTATTGTCTCTCTTGCTCCGAAAGTATGATATAAAATGGATGTTAAATGTAATAAACATTTCTAATTTATCCACTAAATATGTATTGAACGCATATTTTATACCGGGCATATTTTATATTGATGGGTACAATGAAATGTCCTCGTTTGTCACACAAAAAATCTGGTGATCAAAGCAATGAAACAGGGAGCAAAAAACTCGCCCGGAAGTAATGAATTTCATAGAATGTATTAAAATGGTTTTAGCACCAATTTTTATTTAGGTATGAATTTTGATCTGAAAATATGTCCATGCCCATGTGTCCATAACCGTAAATGGTTAAACAGTAGGTACACGCCAAGAGCAAAAAGCTTGTTATTTTTATTCAGACAAGATTTTTACAAAAAGTCCAATTTTTTTACAAGAAATAGATCAAGGCAGCATTCCAATCTCTAGATGATTTTCATAATATTGTATGTGATATAGTAAATGTTTGGTATAGCCTACTTCAGTCAGTTAAAATTGTCTTTGTAGAGATATATTAAACATGGGCGCAGGATCTAGATACTGGCTTTGGGAAGGATCTAAATATGTATACACTATGCCATGTTCTCTAAACAATATTTGTATTTATATAGTAAGATTCCATAACTGGCTTGAAAACTTAATCAACATAACCGAAAAGAGCTTCATTAAGGCTGAAGAATAACTTTCAACTGCTTTCGATCTTAATCTATTTGTCTTAAGCAAGCGCTATCGTCTCTTTTATGCTAAAAGACAATATGTAGTAGTTGTTTGACATATTAGGCATATTTGCGGGGTATTCTAAGGGCCACCATAAAATATTTATTGTTTAATACACTTCACGATAGAGGCAGTGACAACTTTTATGAAATTAAAAATGCTTGTGTCACATAATCAGGGTACAAAAATTAAAATGATTTGGTCAAGTCGAGAGGAACTTGGTATATCAATGTTGTCTTTTTAACAATATTAGCCTCAAGCTCTGAGCTTCAAATTGAAACTTGCGGCTTTTGGTGGTAAGAGTATGCGGTATTTAAGACGTATTTGAATTACGTTCAGATTATTTGTAATCACGTAAAATATATATTTTGTGCGCATTACTGAGGTAAAAGTGGGTCAGGTCTTTGTAGTAGCCGCCAGTGGTGCAGGGAAAGTCATTCAAGCGTGGTCAAATCAAAGTTTCTTTTTGCAGTCAGGTCCACGATCGCATGCGCGAAGCGCAAAGTACGTCAGTGTTGCGTGTAACTCACGTTCACTTCGGACGCGCGATTGGCGCTTGTTTCCATACTAGTTAGTCGTTGTTTGCAAATAAGTAAGCGAGTGTGTTTGTGTGCTGGTTTGCGATGAGTGACGCAGGGGTGGCTTCTCGAGTTACGAATCCCGTCTGGCTCTCGTCTGAGCTACCCGGACGACTTTACGTGCGGGCTCTCCGACAGTACCAGAAGCTGGTCGATCTGAAGCGATTACCTTCGAAAGACAAAGTAAGCATGTACTGCCTTTATGCTCTTCATTTGCTCTGTCATATCCCTTCTTACCTGTTCCATAACATTTATGAATTATTTATTAGTATTCTTGTAGTGTTGGCTTTATTATATTTAAATTTGCGTTGGTATAATTGGGAGAATTTTATGTAGTAATTATTCACATTTTTTTATAGTTTCTGTGACTGAAATTCGTGTATAGTTGTTTGTATATTACGCCCTTTTCCTCCTAATTATAATAATTTAGCTCGACACTTAGATTTTTGGAATCTTTTGTGTTTCACAAATAAGTAAATGACAAATAACAAAAGACAAACAATAATAAAAATTCAATATTTATTTGCCTTTTCTATCCAATACACGACTGACTAATAAGTCTGTATAGATTTACAGGTCAAATTTTTATATAAAAAATTAACAAGACAAAATATACATTTGTCTTATTTTGATTTTGTGAGGAAAAATTCGTTAGCTTAACAGGATAATTAAACAAGAGTGGAACATTTGCGGGCTGGCTATTGCAGTAATATTTACAACATGCTGCTTTGTAAATGGGTCACGTTTTTATCGCTAAACTTTTTTAGAGTCTATTTTTATCGCTGCAGACGTTTTAAAGTTGAAAGGGTTTTGTGTGACCCCGAAACAAGGTTGTAGTTATGTGGCAATGTGACCTCATCGTTCTCATTATTTAGCCGCCTCGTGAGCGACAACGCAACATAAACCTTTTTTTTAATAATTAGAATAAATGGGCAATTAACTTGCGTCATATGAATAAGTTATTTGAGCCCGCAGATAGACTTTAAAACACCAACGCCCATTTTGGTATATCATGGATTTGGAATAACTACCGCTCTAACCTAGAATTTGGGATGTAACTAAAAAAAGCAGAATGGTTCGGACATTATGTCCTGTCACTAGTAGGCACTTTGTTCATTTCCACAGCTTATTTGATCTGATATAGATCGTGAAGTGATTTGTAGATAATATGATGAGTTCAATGTAAATCCAATGTTTCCAATTAATTTTGTAATAGACTTTGACTATTTGTCAAACAATGTTAGGTCGTTATTATATGTACTACTGAGAACTACAACCGGTTTGTTGACAACTTTGTGATATTGTGTACACACACATACGTATGTAGTTTAAGTCTCTGCTTGGTCATTCCGACACGCAGTGCAGTTTCAAATAGTAATTTGAATTTCATTTTCAACTAATTTTAGTCGTGATGCAATTGTTTAATTTACGCACTGCTATTTAACATCATACAAAACTTCTTTTATGAGTATATAACTTAGTAGTTATTTTCCATTGTGTTTTGATCGTGGCTTTAAGCCCACTTATTCGTCTACTAGTGACAGGAATACTACACCAAAGGCTCCGGGCTCGATACGCGGTTGGTTGAGTTCTTAGCAGACTTCATGCAAATGGGTCTGATTCTATCTGTTAGGTCTGTTGTTTACTGGTTCCTACGTCATGGGTTCCGGATTTGATTCCCTATCAAAATAACTATGTTTGCTTAAGATATCAGGAGAAGGGGGTCGCAGTCTACTTGTCTTGTCTGTTGGAATGTCTACGATTCCGGTAGCTATAAAACCGGTTGAGTGTGGAAGTTTTAAGCATTGTATAGTAGTTGTACTGGCGGTGGAGCGTATCACCGTCTGTCCTATTTGTGCAGCGAAGCAGTCATGCGTTCCGGTATTAAGGGTGGGATAGTCGTTATACAAAATCAAGTTGAAACTTCGATCAGAAATAGCAAAATGGCCGACGGCCTTTACGTTCTGACATCTATAGGATCAGTTAATCATTTAAAGTCAGATAGACGATAAATTCGTTCATTCATCTACGCTATGATAAAAATAATAGAAACAGTACCAGTTACAATATGAGTCGTTCAATATATTTATATTGTTGCTGGATTATTTGTAAAAACAGCTTTTATTTGTGATCATTTAGGTCAATACAATACATTAGTTCGTTTCCAATAATAATGGCGGCACCTAAACTGCAAGCGACTGCTTCCGGTCAGATCCACTTCCTGTTGAAGGTCGACCGCTGCGCAGCGATCGTTGCACTTCTTGATTTATGACTTTAATTTTAAAACATGGCAATTGTTATGTCTGTTTTTTTAACTGTTCCCTTTTGAGTTTCATTTTCGGCGGCTATACCTACATCATGTCTGAAAACGAAATAAAAAGCACATCTTAATGTTTTTGCTGTGGAAAAATCGATTACGTAGCCCAATTTAAAACCCCTTCTGACGATGTCAACATTAAATCCCTTTAACTTCAATGGAGTCTGAGGATGTTTACGGAAGCAGTTGCTACATGTGTGTTTCGTTGGTAGGTAATGATCCAGTGGTCGCTCTAACACCTTATTTATTCTTTATTGTACACACAGTTAATAAAATACAATAATTGCGAAAACTTATAAAATGGCGAGCTTAACGCAACAATTGAGTTATCTACCAGCTAACCTTATCCATTCCTTTGATATCAATGACCGATAGTAGCACGTCACGTACGGTCTTGTTTTGATTACAGCTTTGCGCACAACAAAAATCCCAATTTCTGCGACAGACTGCCTAGATCGAGCATCGATTGAATTCTTCTGCAAATTCGTACTGTTTTTTTTTATTGCTTAGATGGGTGGATGTCTGGATGTCTCACCTGGTACTGGAGCTCATAGACATCTACGATGTAAATGCGCTACCCACCTTGAGATATAAGTTCTAAGGTCTCAGTATAGTTACAACGGCTGCCCCACCCTTCAAACCGAAACGCATTATTGCGTCACTGCAAAAATAGGCAGGGTGGTGGTACCTACCCGTGCGGACTCACAAGAGGTTCTACCAACAGTAAGTTCTATCACCAGATCTATCGGATGCTCGCTTCTAGACCAGACAACACCAAGCAAAGCATCAGACAGCCACACAGATTTTAGTATCAAGGGCGCATATTAACAAAATTCCGACATTTTCGTGTTAAAAATGGAGATAACCACGTTTCGCGCCATATTCATATTTACACTCTGCAGGTATCGTAACAGTGTAGCTGTGCGTTCGCATAAGTGGCCTGCGACATAAGGGTATCAATGCTAACTTAATGTAGAGGCGACGAGATGATGTGCACCTCTTCATTGAAGTGTATTTGAGGAAAACTCCTTCAAAGCGCATGAGCATGAGAAGAGGGAGACGAGGTCCGAACGGCTTTCGATCTGAGGCCGATTTCCTAGGTCAGGTCACAGAGCCTCGGATTAATTCAGTGTCCCTCGTGCGAGCTTTATTTATTTGTTGATGTTCCTATTGTGAATATAAAATAAATATACATCTCAAATGTATAACAAAAGAGTTTTTATATAATAATTTAAAATAAAGCGCTTATAAACCAACACATCTGACAACGTACTACATAGATATATTAACAAACAACTTATAATAAACAGGATTTATATTATATTTAGCTTAAAATATTTATTTATTTTTATAGTAAACTAAATGAAGTCTTTAGAGAAGGTGAAACAAAATCATTGTGAAAGACTTTAGTCTTTTTCTTTTTTCTAATGATAATCACAAACATTCTTTATTATCCGTCTCAAAAACTTTCAGAGAACATACATATAGTTATCGATTTTATAAAATATAAATGTTTATGCACTCTTATACTTATTTTACTTCTAGCACACTTCATTACGATTCCTCTTTCAGCTCTGTGTAATTATTAATTAAAATATGTCTTCTATAAAAGCTGCGAAGGGACCCCATGTAGTATTTTATCTGTTACTTAGCTTATTTATTTAGCTTAGCTTATTTTTGTGCGGGGTTTGATATTTATTATACGATGCTACTCCATCATCGTGGAAGTCGTTCGTTAAACATAAATAACTTAAATACGTTTTTCGTTACAAAAAATTGGTACCTGCATACGATATTCAAACACCGGCATAGTCACGTCGCTCGATATGAATACACTGGGCGTCTTATTGTTTAGGCTAAAACAGTTTCTGAATTATCTAAATTGTTTAAAAGTCTAAATTGGTTTCATTAAGTACATATATGTATATATCCAGAATTTTTTTCTTAAATAACTGGCTTGAACTCAGCCGGATTAAACGAGAACTTCGCTAGTTTATGTAAATTGTACACGTTTATATTCACTACGCAATTATTATCGTTAATATTTATTGGAGTTTTTGTATATAAATGTAATTTATGCGTCAAAGGCGTGATTACGAATTCGAGCAGTAATTTAATTTGGGAATATTTTAGCTAGGTATGTAATAAGAAGGAGTTATCTCATTATAGTTTCTAAATTCTTTGATAATCCTTTGAATATGAAAAAGCTACGAAGTAAAGTAAAAGACAGGAGTTGAAACGGCGAAAATTGTGAACTCTAACCACAGTTTTCAAATTTGAAAGTGTCATTTGCGATTTTAATGTAGCTTTAATTAGCTATTAGACTTTGGTTTTCCTTCAATATTTAACATTTTCGAATTAATTTTAACATTGATAAAGGATGTTTATAAACGAAATAGAGTTGATGTAATATAGGTGTGTCTTTGATTTATAGCCATTTATTTATAGGTTAAGCTATTATGCTGACTTATTGAATATCTAAATTAGTAATTTTGTAATTCTCCGCATATTACGGGTATGTTCAAAGAATAAACTAAAAAAGAAACCAAGGCAGTTAAAAGTCATGTGTGCTTAAATTTCAAAACACTTCGATTGATGATGGTTTTATGTTTCCAAGGTATTCATAATGTGCGCTTCTATGTATATATCGACGGTTGAAAGGCAAACGTGACTAAGCGACAATGCGTGAACTTTACAGTAGACTAATTTAAAGTTAAAATACCCGAAAATAATTCTATTTTAACGAATCTAGCTGTAGGATTGAAATGATTTTAATAGACCTAGAAATAAAAATTTTTTTGCGCATCGAATATGGTTATCGCCTATCATTTATGTATAAAGCAGTTATTGTCGCTTAGTCACGTTT